ATATATATATATACTGGTATAGGTGCATTCCTTGCTGTGGGGACTAAAATCAAACCTGCCACTGTATTGCAAATAATTAGTTTATTTCCTCCAGTTCCAGTGGAGGTTGAGCACAAAGCCAGTTTCGTTTGGTCTGCTGCCGTGTGTCAGTTGATGATCTGGGAGGCATCCTGCATGTATGTGTGGCTTTGTCGTCTTATTAACAAAGCCTTGTTGCATCATGTTTCATCTCACTTAAGAGCAGCAGCATCTGGATAAGCATAAAACATTAAAAAGCACACACTGTGAGACAATATTCACTCAGTTTTCCTCATCAAATATTCATTCATGTCTTGAAACTTCTTTATTGTTTTGTGATGTTTGGGCTTCCCGCTTCAGCTTTCTGAGTGGATTCCTGTCATTCTGTAAACAAACTGCTGGGTTACATTTGGGACCAGGAAGTATTCAAAACGTTTTTTCTCTGCAATCCTTAACTTATAGGTATAAATAAAGAAACTTAGTATTACTGGTACACATAAATGYGCAGTATATGTTTTTGTGTCATCTTGTTGCTGACACGTTACAGTTTGCWACATGTTTTTTCTTTTTTTTTTAGCTTTTTTCACCCTAATTTTTCCTTTTTTTGTTGCTATACTCATATTGTTTTTGAGTGTGTTTTTGAGGTCACAAAATGCACACAGAGGGCAACGATGAGCAGGTGACCAGTGTTAACTCTCTTGGTAGTTTTTACTGAATACACAACTTCCATTGTAATCCTGTGCCTTGTGTTCCTTTTCTGTTTTTGCTACATCACAGTTAAAGCTGCCATTAACTTTGAGTTTGAGTTTGTGTCTTCATCAGCAAAATCCTGATTGGCTGGATTTATTTTCTGGTTTGGTAGAAAAGTTTCCTCTTCAGAGGAAGGGCAGGACATGAATTAGGCAGCTTCTGTCAGACCTCAGTGTGATAGTGAGTATAAAACCACTTTACATTTTCAAAGCAGCAGCCTAATTAGAGGTTAATGTCACACTCTGATGGCTTTAGACCTTCACATGTGGCAGTGTGCACGGCTTGTGTTTTCAACACTTGGCAAATAGCATTCAGTAAAAAAATGGTTTAACAGTGCAAAACAAGATTGTAGAAAAAAAATGTAATCTGGCTTGGCAAATTTGCATGCTACTAGTCAAGTATTTTGATTAGTTTTTGCAAAATAGCTATTTAATAGGTTAAAAATGAAAAACCTTTTTCCAAGGTGTTTTTTTTCCCCCTTTTAAAAATTTCAGATAAAATTGCTGTCATGGACGGATGATTATACACCCACTGCCTAAAGGTTACAGCACAAACAGGTTGGAGAATAATAATAATAAAAAAAGAATACAGATAAAAACTTGCAGCAAAGCAACACAGTGTTTTATATTCTCATGGTTCATTAGACATGATGGACCGGGGTTACTTTTATTGAGTCTGTGTTGTAGAAATAATTAACTGATTCTGCCTGTAATCTTCAGATTGGAAAACAAAAACCAAACACATCAATACTAAGCTCAGTGACACTGCCATTGATTTTCCCAAGAATTATTTTGACCAAAGCTGTCATCAGTGTTTCTTGGTGTGCAGTGTGATGCACCTTAGCCACCTTTCATTTCTTTACACCTTGTTTCCAGTGAATTATACTGTTTTATAATCTAGTTTGGAGGTCTTGAGCAATAAGATTATGCCCTTTTGAAAAAAAGCAAACAAATCAACCCAAATCATTCTATTTAAACATTTACAGGTCATGAKTCACATCATTCCCAATGCATTAAGATACAGTTCAAATTGTGCACATTAGCATGTATGCATTGATAGACCAGTTTGAAAGATCACTTCCTCTCAGGTACCATCCCGAATYACAGTTCAAATGTACAGAAAGTATCACTGCAGAAGTTAACCTGTTTCCTGCTTTCTTTGTATTATTTATTATTTATATACTTATTTYGCAATGGCTGTGAACTTTACAGCTGTGAGTGAAGCCGCAAAGCCTCAGGTTCATCCTGTTGGTCTGGCAGCAGGCTTTTATTTCTTATCCTGACTGTTGTGAGCCACAGCAGCTTGTTTTTGTGTATTTCAAAAACAAAAGCAAACTAAAAAAGAAAAAGGAAAAATAAAAAAAGACCCAACAATCTTTTGATTTGGCAGCACACAATTTATGCTAGAACCTTGTATAGAACAAAAAAGTGTTGTAAATTAATATAAAAAGCATCTTATTAAAGCGATTTAATGTACTGTATAATCTTTGGACCTTTTTGTTCATTTTGGCTAACTTTGGTGGGCAACAAGCAGATTGTGAGTGACACTGTCAAGGTGCTGTTTTTTTGCATATAGAGGAGGTGATTTGCAATCACAGGCTGCCATTCATGRTAGATTTAAACCTCAGTTCAGCTACAAGTTGCAACAACAGAGTACCAATGTGCTTGGAGCTGTCTATTTATGTGAACAACAATGTACTTTGATGCCAGAAGACATGACGGCTTATCAGCTCAAGTTAGACTTGGCTGCAAGGATATGCACAGCTTAGAATTTTTATTAAAAACACTGTTACCAACACTTATTCCAGAGCTTTTTTACTGTTTCAATTATGTTAATCAGAAACAGTGGTCCAACACAGCCTGTAGAATGCTGTCCAATGC